ATGAGGCGTTTGTCCCAGAATCTTGAGGATTTTACATAGTGATCTAGAACAGACTTCAACTAACTATAGAAAGAAGGTGGGCCAAATCACTTCCTGTTTTTACAAATAAAGTTTTACTGGAATATGGCTTCATCTATCTGTTTATAACATGTTTCTGTGTCTGCTTTCAAATTAATAGTGGAAAAGGTAATTAGTTGGAACAAAAGTTATAACCTGCAAAGCCTAAAATATTTACTATCTAATCCCTTTTGGAACAAGTTTGTGTATCCCTGATGGAGAAAAAAATTCCTGACACAATCCTAGTATTTCCTTCCTGAGATTTTTTTTTTTTTAAAGATGGCTCCTCTTACAGGCAAAACAATGCAAGTTCATTTGTTCAGGAAGACATGAGCTTCATTTTTAATCCTTGTTTATCACTTGTGCCTATAGGCTAAAGTCTGTTTCCTTCATCCAAATGTATTACTCTTGGAAAAGTAGCAGTCCTATTTCTGAAACATTTTCTACAAAGCTGAGAGAAGAAATGTGAGGGCATTTAATTTATACTCTTATTTCTCAATATGATGGATTTTGCAAGCAAGGAGAATACTGTGTTTTCCAGGCTGCATTTTTTAGTGAGGTTCACTTAACATATTCTTTGGGGGATTTAAAATCAGCACCTCATTGAAAATGAGTGAAGAGTAGAATTAATTTGAAGTATAGCTTTCTGTCCATTTGTTTTGGAATTAGGTGGAAGAGAATAATTTGGAAATAAAAACATACAGAATCTATTGGAATTAGGCACTCAGATGTTTTTCATGTTAATAATTGAGAAATCTTTACAAAACTCCATAATTTCTATCTCCAAATAAATGTTAAATACAGATCTGGCCCTTATGTGAGAGCGGCCTACATCTTTTTCTCATAAGATTCTATAAATCTAAATATGATGATAAGGAATTTATATTATAAAACATTTCACATTAACATGCTGCACAGAATAAATTCCAAAATATTTTCTGAATCTTTTATTTATTGTGAAAATCTCACTCATTTTTCTACAGTCATTGACTTGGCTGCATAGCTACTACAGAGACGTGACCAAGCTCTCAAAAAGAGCTAACATTTACAAAATCTTTCTGGTATCCCTCCCACTTCATTTTACAGATGACAAAACCAGCACAGAAAGGAGAACTAACTTAAGGGTAACAGTTCCAATTAGACAGGAGGGATAATTTTTTTCTATGTTCTATTGCACAGGATGGAGACTAGTTATAATAGTGTATTTTATGTTTCCAAATTACTAAGAAAAGAAACTTTAAATTTCCTCGCAACAAAAACTCAGAGGTGATAGATGTATTGATTAGATTAATTTCATCGTTACACATTGAGCAAATAAGTTGTAAGATCACTCTGAACCACAGAAATATATACAAATTATTCTGTCATGATAAAAATTTTAAATAGGAGGGGAAAATAACGTAAAATAACTGGATCCAAAACCTGTTTTGTGCCCAAGAAAAATTCTAACAAAAACACTTCACTTTTAGCATGTTCCTTAGAAACCTTCTAAGATCAATTCCAAAGCAACCAGTTACAGTGTAGTAACTGAAATTGGAGGGGCTGGGGATTTAGTTCAGTGGCACTGTGCCTGCCTTGCAAGCGCAAGGTCCTGAGTTCGATCCCTGATACCAATAAACAAATAAATAATTGGGAATTGGTACTGCGGTGGGGAGGGTCTGAGAAAGAGCTCAGGGGAGTTCTTGGAACGGAAGGAGCGTAAGAATGCGGGTAGAAAGTTGGAGAGGGCTGGGGTCTGCTCACAGCCTACAGGAAGTCAGTGGTCTTCTGATTTCAGTGTGGTAAGAATCTTCTGGGGTGCTTGTTGATAATGAAAATCGCCGAACTCCAACTGCCAGAGAATCTTACTCAGCTCCAGGAGCAGGATCGCAACCAGCAACCCAGGGAATCTTGCTACTGAGAGGTTCTTTGTGAATCATTGTTAAAGACTCTGGGGAAGCAACATGCTGAATCAGGACGTGCTTAATGTCACGGTGTTACGACGAGCACACAAATAATAAAGCAACATCTCCGGGGAGACGGGAAAGTGTTCCCAAGTAAGATGATTTTTTTCCCTGTATTTAGAATTCAGAAATAACAAGAAGGTGACTTTCAAAATAACCTACATTGTGCACATGCACACGGCACACTTTTGCTTATGCTTGTATTGGACGTTATTTAGATTTCTGAGTTATAAAAAATGCTTAAAGTCACAATCCAGTTTTACTCAATTTTTAAAGAAATTTAAATCCGAAACATTTCTGGACTTTTCACGTTGTACTAGTGTTGGCCTGCAGTCCCTTCTGTCCTCGCCGTCAAACTACAGATAAATTAACAGAGAATCAATTATGAGTAAATAAATAAGTGAAGGACTTCATTGACTCACATATTTTCAGTAGAACTTAATTTCACACAGTACGACTGAGAGATTGTTTAATGAATCAAGGAAACTGCAATACTTCGGTACTTTACCTTGGGATTAATTTAACAATTTAAGCAGCCAATTTTTCTAGAAAAGCTATCAGTGGCACACAAATTTAAGATTTGCTACTGGATCATTATAATATGAGGTAAAAGTTTGTATGTTCCACTGGCTTTGGGTACATCTGGAATAGAAGAAGTGAAAACGAACTATAGTTTTTAAATCACCTGTTCATTTCAAGCATTTGTATTCAGATGACATCCCCACCCAAATTTTTTCTTGGTAGAAAATTGATACAGTCACTCCTCTGGACAGTGCATTCCTTAATATTTAAGCAGACTTGAAAGGAAAGGGGGGAAGAGGCATGTAACTGATGTGGAATTAAATAGACACCACACATCACAATCTCTCTGAGTAAGCAGGGATGGTCTGAGCCAACTGGGGATTCTCGAAGTTAAGATGCCAAATCACACACTGGCATTTATTCCACTCTTTAAGTTTGTTGAACAGTAGGCATAAAATAGCAGAGCTTCAGTGGATCGTGTCTGGAGAGAACGATAGATATGTTTTTTGTTGCTGTTGTTGTTGACAGGTTCTTTTCACATTCTACTCAGATTGAATTATGCTTTTTCATGCCATGGTGTATGAAGGAATCCTAACATCCTCTGGCTAAAATTCATAGGAAAAGTCATTCTGTGGACTCTTTGCAAAGCAAGTGAAGGGAATAAAAGGTTGCAAAGTAAAACTGTGAGCCCCATAAGAAATACAACCCCTCAAAATTGAATATCTTACATTTTCAAATGTAAATAAATGCCTGTCAATCAGATCAGTATGCATTCATATCAATTCTTATATATAAATGTATACTTATGCATTAATATTAAGGGAGAATATAAATCTTTCATTTTAGTAGACTGGCAAAAAGTTCGAATTTCTAATGTAAGAAAAAAATCGTGCCGGGCATGGTGGTGCACACCTGTAATCCCAGCACTCGGGAGCCTGAGGCAGGAGGATCTCTGTGAGTTCGAGACCAGCCTGGGCTACATAGTGAGTTCCAGGTCAGTCTCAA